TGTTAAAAGTACTTATTAAAGAAAAAGAAGAAGATCAAAACTACGAACAATGAAATGGCAAAAAATACAAATCTATCAACAACTGAATCTAAAAAACAAACCAAACAAACAAGAAGAACAGAGGCAGAATCATGGATACACAGAACATTTTGATTGTTTCCAGATGGCAGGGGGTATTGGGGAATTGATAGGTGAGGGGATTAAGAAGTACAAATAAGTAGTTGCTTGACACATGAACATGAACGATGGTGTGGGGATTGTCTGAGGGAATGGGGTTGCTGGGTAGAAAGGGGGAAATATTGGGACAGCTGTAATAGCATAACCAATAACATATAATTTTAAAAATATTAAAATCTTCTCTGATACCAAGGTCTGTAAGTTTAGTACCTATGTTTTCTTCTATGTATTTTATTGTTTCAGGTGTTATATTTAGCTCTTAGCTCCATTTTGAGTCAATTTTTGTGTATGGTGTTAAATAGAAGACTACTTTCTCCTTTCTTCTTTCTTTTGTCTCTCTTCCCCTTTTCCTTCTTTTTCTTCTTCTTTTGCCTGTGGCTTTCCAATTTTCCCAGTACCATTTATTGAAGAGTCTTTCTCTTCTTCATTATGTTTTTGATTCCATCAAAAATTCATTGCCCATATACACGTGAGTTTATTATTTCTGGGCTTTCAATTCTGTTCCTTTGGCTTATGCATCTATTTTTCTGCAAATTCCATACTGTCTTTATTATTGGAGCTTTGTAGTATAATCTAAAATCAGCAAGTGTGATATAAATAAAGACTCCACTAAAAAGCTACTAGAAACAATGAACAAATACAGTATAGTTTCAGGATACAAAATCAATGTATAAAAACCCGTTGTGTTCTTATATACTAATAATGAACTTTCAGAAAAAGAAATTAAAAAAAATTATTTGCAATTGCAACAAAAAGAATAAAATACCTTGGCATAAGCTTAACATAGGATGTGAAGATCCTATGTACAGAAAACTACAAGACATTATTAAAAGAAATTGAAGAAGACACAAAGAAATGGAAAGATATTCTATATTCATGGGTTGAAAAAATAAACATAGTTAAAATGTCCATATTACCCAAAGCAATATACAGATTTAATGTAGTTTCCATAAAAATCCCAATGGCATTTTACAAAGAAATAGAACAACAGCAACAAAAACAATAGCAAAAACCCCAACGGATTTGTGTAGAACCACAAAGACCCAGGATAGCTAAAGCAATCCTGAGAAAAAGGAACAAAATTATGTTTTCTAACTGTTGCCAATGCTTAGAAATACTTTTGATTGTATTAGTTTTCCCTTTCTGCCACATTGCTGAGCTCTGTTATTATTAACAGTCATTTGCCCATAGATTCTTTGGGACTTTCCATGCAGACAATTACACTTTTATGAATAAAGACCATTCTAACTTTTACCAGTTTTTCCCAGCTTTGTTCTTTGATGTCTTATAGCACTTGTTAGGAAATTCAACAAAGTGTTCAATAGAAGTAATGGAGTTTTTATCTTGTCCCTGCATTTTTAAGATCTGCTTCTCATTTTTTTTATCACTAGGAATATTGGTTGCTACATCTTCTGAGATGATCATATATTTTTCTCCTTTAATCTGTTAATGTAGTAAATTATATCTGTATATTTTCTAGTGTTTAACTACCCTTGCAGTTCTTGATAAATCCAACTTGTTTATGATCTATTATCTTTAAAAAATAAACTCCTGGAGTTTGTTTTTATCCACATGTTATTTGAATTTTGTAGCTGCTTTTGACTGAGCTTCCTTTGGCCCTTTTATTATGTTTCTTTGTTGTATGGTCCTTGATTGGTTTTGATATAAAGGTTACGTTGATCTCATAGAATGAATTGCATCAAGTCCCTCTTTTTCTATTCTCCAAGACAGTTTTAAAGATGGGAATGATCTCTTCCTTAAAAAGTTGGTATAAGTCATCTGTAAAAATATCCTTTGTAGGAAGACTTTAAAATATTGATGACATTTCTTTTGTAGTTATAAGACAATTCAGGTTCTCTATTTTTATTAAGTTTTGATGTTATATTTTGAAAGAAATTTTTCCATTTTAAATTTTCAAATGATTGACCTAAATTGATACACTTAAAAACACTTTGTCTTACCTTTGATTATGTTTCTTTCACTTGTAATATTGCTTATTTGTACTTTCTCTCTTTTTCTTCTTATTTATTCTCAGTGGAGATTTCTTTGTTTATAAAACAGAACTTTTTATGCATTATCTCTTTTGTATCATTGTTTACTTTTTCATGAAACTGTGTTTATCTCTTTTATCTACTTCTTTCTACTTGTTTTTTCTAATTCATTAAACTGAACACATAGCTCACTAATTTTCAGCCTTTCTTCTTGTCTAAAATAAGAATTTAAATTAATGAATTTCTCTTAAAAATAATTTTAACTGTATCCTATAGGATAATGTAGGTAGTATTTTTATTATCATTACATTTTTAGTATTTTAAACTTTTACTATCATTTATTTTTTGACACATGAATTATAAAACATGAGCATGTTTCAGTATTTTCAAATACATGGGGAATTTTCAAAATTGTCTTTTTATTTTGCCACCCCAGACCCATCCCTTGTAGTTTGCTTTTCTAGAGTCAGTCATTGTTAACAGTTGTTTGTGTATCCTTTTGAAGATATTGAACACATTTGCAAATGTAGATTAATACATATTTATTCTTTTTAAAAAATGAGAACATTCTATAACATTGTATTGGATCTCTTTTCTACTTAACAGTGTATCGTAGAACTGCTCTGTATCTGCATCTACAGACATAGCTCGTGTCTTTTGGATTCACCAGCATTCCGTTGTACACATGGACTGCATCACGACATTAAACCAGTCCTCTAGTAATGGGGCAGTTTAGTTATCTCCTATCTTTTGGTGTTGTGAACAATGCTGCAATGAGTTTTTTTTTACAGACATTGTGTCTATGTGTGTGATTAAGTGGGTAGGATAAATTCCTAGGAGTGGAGCTGCTGGGTCAAACAGAATGCACTTTGACACATATTACCAGATTGGCCTTAAAACGTTACACAATTTACATGCTTATCATACAAGGCGTGCTCATTTTCCTTGCAGAAACATCAGACTTTTGATGGTTGCCAACTTGATATTAAAAAGAATACTTCATCATTACAGTAAGCTTTGATTAAGAAAAAAGATCATAAAAGTTACTTTTAAAAATTTTAGGTGTTCTATAGAAGAAGAAACATCTGTGTGGGATTGAGGGTTGGGAGATTCTTGGAGGAGGTAACCCTTAAGCAGGGTCTGGAGCAGAAGTCCGCAACCCAGACAGAGGCAGGGGCAAAGCACTGAAGGCAAGAACCATGTAGAGAGTGTAGCCTGAGCAAGGCATAGAGGGCGGGAAAATGTCTTATCTAGTTGTTTCTCTAAAGCAGAGAGAGCACATTCTGAGTAGTGAGGGAAGCGCACCTAGTAGGCAGCAAGGAATCATGAAAGCAGGAACTTTCAGCCCTGCTGCCCATTACAACCACTTAAGGGGGAGGGGAGGGTGCGGGGGTGGGGTGTGGAGTGCAGTGGCATTGCTTTAAAACAAATTGATGCCTCAGTCCTATCTCAGACAAATTGAGAATCTCCTGTAGGAGCTTTGTAAAACTCCCCAGAGGGTATTATTATTTCTTATTTAAATTATTTTGTTGTTCATTTACAGTTGTATTTTTCCCCACCCCCTCCAAGCCCACCTCCCTCCCTTGCTTCCACTCACCCCCTTGGTTTTGTCCATGTGTCCTTTATCGTAGTTCTTGAAAACCCTTCTCCCCACATTCCTCTCCCCCCTCCCCTAAGGCTATTGTTAGATTGTTCTTAATTTCAAAGACTCTGGTTATATTTTGTTTGCTTTTTTCTTTTGTTGATTATGTTCTAGTTAAAGGTGAGATCATATGGTATTTGTCCCTTACCATGTGGCTTATTCCACTTAGCATAATGTTCTCCAGTTCCATCCATGCTGTCAAAAAAGGTATAAGCTCCTTCTTTCTGCTGCTTAGAATTCCATTGTGTAAATGTACCATAGTTTTTGATCCACTCATTTGCTGATGAGCACCTGGTTTGCTTCCAGCACTTGGCTGTTGTAAATTGTGCTGCTATGAACATTGGGGTGTATAGGTTCTTTTGGACTGGTGTTTCAGGGCTCTTAGGGTATAATCCCAGCAGCAGAATTGCTGGGTCAAAAGGCAGTTCCATTTTTAGTTTTCTGAGGAAATTCCACACTGTTTTTCACAGTGGCTGCACCAGTCTGCATTCCCACCAACAGTGCACTAGAGTTCCCTTTTCTTTACATCCTCTCCAACACTTGTTTATTAATTTGTTTTTGTTGGCCATTCTGACTGGTGTGAGGTGGTATCTCATTGTGGTTTTAATTCACATCTCTCTGATGGCTAGTGATGCTGAGCATCTTTTCATGTGTCTCTGGGGCCTCAGAGGATATTATTTTGTAGCAAGAGTTGAGAATCACTGCATTAAGGACTTATGAACAGGGCAGTGACAAGCTGAAAAGTGGGCTTATGGAGAATTTACAGTCTTAGATCACAGGCTATTTACCTCTAAGTTTATCGAGCAGTTGGAAATATGAGGGAAAATCATAACTACTTAGTTCAAAATTGAATTTAAGTAGATTTCCACTCTCACTTTGGGGAAGAGAGAGTGCAAGTCCCAGGGCTCCCCTGGAAGGAGACTGCTCTGAACTCGGGGAGGCATGCTTTTGCCACTAGGTGGCGCCATGGATTGTGATTTGGTGAAAAATAGGCTTCAAAGAAGTGAGACAGAATCAGGAGAGACAGAAACCATATGCTTTAACCTCTCCCTTTTGTTTTATTTGTAATTTATTTTATTATATGCAAGATTGGCTGCTTTTCAAATAAGTTATTTTTTTCATATAGTTCTAAGTTTACAATGTAGAAAGGGTGTTACAGCGTCTTCAGTAGATATTCTCTGCCTGCCCTCCAGATCCACTTGGGCCTGGAGAGGCTCATTTCCAAGGCTGCACTGATAGTGTTCTCAAACTTGGGCTTCTGGTAGGGTGGGCCCATGGAGCAGCACTGGCAAGAGACCTGAGGACAGAAAGAGAAGGGCCAGTCAGACCCAGCTCCTTCCCCGCTGGCTGATGGTTCATCTGGAGAATGCTGTGGCTTTGTCCAGTGGCCCCTTCTATACCTACAGGTCTCTCTTTGGGTTTAGGTAATCATTTATGGTGTCCCGAAGGGCCTAGACATGGTGCTTATTCCCCACTGTAGCCTAGACTGTGGGAACATCACCATCCTCTGTTGGGCATCTGAACCCCATCCACAACTTTGTAAGTCATTCTTTCATTAAACTACCTTGCATTAACCTTTTGAGCATGCCCTGTATTTCCTGCTGAGATCCTAACTGGTACAGGCCCCCTCCTCTTTTCTCTGTTTCCCATCTAAACAGTTCTCCTGAATCAATGAAGTCCATAGGTTTTCTGTATGTGAATATAGGAAGCCTATGTGATAGGAAACGTCACATCCTATCACCCTTATTTACTCAATTGTAGCACACTATATACCCAGGTCAGCACTGTAAGGGTTTTTTCTATATAATAATATAGTCTAGAGCCCTGACCGGTGTGGTTCAGTTCATTGGGCATCATCCCACACAGCAAAATTCGCTGGTTTGATTCCCAGTCAGAGCACATAACTGGGTTGTGGGTTTGCTCCCCAGTTGGGGTACATACAAGAGGCAACCAATAAATCTTTCTCTTGCATATCAATGTTTCTCTCCTTCTCTTTCTCACTCCCTTCCACCTCTCTCTTCAAATAAATAAATTAAATCATATATATATATATATATGATATATATATATTCCTAGAAATCACTCTAGAGTAGTTTATAGAGATTTACCTTACTCCTTTTCATGGCTGAATTATATTCCATTTTATGGATGTATAATTTTTAGTCAGTTTCCTATCAATAGGCATTTAGTCTGAAACTGAAAGAGATTAAGTTGTCTGGTCAATTCCCTGCAGAGCACCTGTCATCAGGGTGATTTGCATAATGGGATCTGCATCTTGACACAATATTTACTGCACATTTCCATTCTTCTTAAATTTCTACCCTTATACTTTCGTTCCCAGGGCAGTTACAATAATGGATTCTAGAGCCGCAGTTTCAAGATATGTTTCCTGATTATTAACTTCATCTTGGACCAGTCACTTAGACTGTTGGTGACTCAGTTTTCTCACCTATAAAATGGTTTCTACCTCAGTGTTGCTGAGACTGTTAAGTGCTTGGAAGAGAACCTGATATTTGTTAAGATCCATATGAACATTGGTTCTTACTAGTGGTGTTACCATTCCTTCAGTTTGAGGCTGTGCTCTTCTTGTACTAGCATTCAAGTACAACAGGAGAGAGCTTTTGTATCTCAGCAATAGTTTATCTTTTAAACTGAGATTATCAGATTTTTTCATAAAAGCAGATGTGGATGAAGAAATTTGGGTGGCCCTGGCTGGTGTGGCTCAGTGGATTGAACGCCAGCCTGCAAACAAAAGGGTTGCTGGTTCAATTCCCAGTCAGGGCACATGCCTGGGTTGTAGGCCAGGTCCCCAGTAGCAGGGACATGAGAGGCAACCACATGTTGATGTTTCTCTCCCTCTCTTTCCCTCTCCCTTCTCCTCTTTCTAAAAATAAATAAATAAAATCTTATAAAAAATAATTTGGGTAAAAAATGAGGGAACTGGGGACCTAAAGTGGCTCTAAAATAAAAAGGAGTTCCTAAAGGTAACTTTGCCCACTTCACAACTTCATTTTGGTTTTCCTGTTCACACGTACTTAAAACGGTGAGACCCACAAATCGCCCCCCCGGTTATCTTCCAGATTCCATGCTAGACTCACTGTTCACAAGCCCTCCACCATCTACCATCCTTTACCAACAAAACCAAATCCAATCTTCCTCTCACAGTCGCACATCACATTTAGGTTAGTCAATTTTAAAAATCTCAGAACTGTCTTTGCTGTCTTTCACATCTTTCATGGCAAAAATTATTATGAAGCCTTATAAATGATTTCTTCTTAATAGTTCTCAATTTCATTTCCATCTCTTTTTCTTGATCTCCTCTGAGACTCTTGTTATTTCTATGGGCCATTGCAGTCAGTCTTAGCCCCCTTTCCTCTCCTTCTTCTCTCCCTCCCTTCCCCACCCTCTTCTTTTCTTCCTTCTGCAAATATGTACTGAATGACCCTTATTTACCAGGCCTTGAGCTGGCACAGAGGATGCAAAAAAATATATAATAAAAAATAAATAAAATGGAAGGATCCTAAATATAACTCTTACTTTAACTTAATCCTAATCCTCAATACATGACATTTATAATCCAGAGTGAGTCAGACATTAACCATACAATTATACAAATAATTGACTCAGGATCTTGTTTTCTGCTCTATATGCCCCCGAAAGACAGAATAACCCCAGAGTTTTGTCCTGGAGGTCAGGACTTTCCAGTCTCAGGGAAGCATTATTGCCTTTGCTTTGGAAAATCTCTGGGGGAGATGGGGTGGTGGTAAAAACTAGTTTTAGAGAAGAAGAAAATAAGTGGCCTGTCCCTGAGGAGAAGGGGACTGGCATGGATAGGGAATTGGGAGAAACAAATTTGCAGTAGGATCTGTAAGAGTTGACATCTGATCACAGTTTGCACCGTGATCCAAAGAGGATGAGACTTCTGATGGAGAGGCGTGAACAGATGCCGTTGATGGTCTGGCCTGTTTGTGCAAGAGCAGTGGCTAAATCCCTTGTGACAGACCTTTGATCAAAAAAAGAAGACCTCTGTGGGAGCATCTGTGTGGCCCACCAAGGGCAATAAGGCCCAGCAGATCCTAAAGGACCAGCCAGCGATGGGCATGAGACCAAAGACCATTTTTGTGCCAATATGTGAGCCCAAGGCTCCAGAACGACCCCTTTGTGGGTTAGGGGTGGTAACTGCAGTTTCCTTTGTGCAAAGAAATAAAATGCTGACTTGTGTCACAAGCCTTATTCCATGAGCCATTTCCAGAGGGCACAGGCTAATTAATTTGTATTCTTTTCTTTTTTAAAAGAAAAATAAGTCAAAAAGAAAATATATACATTTTAAAGTAAAAAAAAACAAATGAGCTGTGTTATCATGAGCACACTACAAGTCCCCTTGGGTCTCTTTTCCTTATCCATAATATGTGGAAATGATGTTCCAGCTGTACTATCACAAGGTTTCATGTTGCCTCTTCCAAAGAACAGAATTGGTAATATGATAATTGAGTCTTTGTTTCTTTTTTTTAATCATGTTGGATCCACTCTCAACTGAAAAAATGAAAACTAGTGAGATTTATCGACACCACCAAGTAGCAAAATATGTATAATTCCTTTTCATTTCTCTAAACCCTTCCTGTAGAAGAAGCATGCAGTTAGCAGTAAGGTTGAAGCAAGAAGTTGCTGTATCTGGAGCACATCACCTGTCTTTGTTTGAGGCAGATCTTGTGAAACTAATACCCAGGAGACCTTCTCACCTGTAGCTGCTGTCACTGAAGGGAAGGGGAAGAAAACTCCTAAACCTAAGAGATTCTGCATGTTAAATTAACAAGACAACTCACCTTCTTCTCCCCAAGTGTCTCAGACACAGTGTTAGTCTCCATTATGCCTCTTCAAATAGGCAGTGAACAAGGCTTCATGGGCAAATGGCCAGCTTCCCCAGTGGACCCTTGGAATGGGAGCTGTTAAGAGCATGCAGCCACATTAAACTCAGCATTTAGTTACACAGGTGGATACACTGGAGGGGGAGGAGTCAATATGATTTTTCACCTGGGCAAACAGATTGCTAGATGAGACAATTCAGTATAGAGGTTTGAGATACAGACTCTGAGACAGACTGCTGGGTTCCTATCAGGGCTTTGTCACTTACTAGCTCTGACTCTGGGCAAATTACTCTCTGTTCTTTTTAGATTTTATTTATTTATCTCTTAGAGAGGGAAGGGAGAGAGAAAGAGAGAGAGAGAGAAACATCAATGTGCAGTTGCTGGAGGTCATGGCCTGCAACCCAGGCATATACCCTGACTGGGAATCGAACCTGCAACACTTTGGTTCGCAGCCCGCACTCAATCCACTGAGCTACGCCAGCCAGGGCTGCTCTCTGTTCTTCATATGGAAAATGGGGACAGTAGTGCTATCCAACTCATGGGAGGTTATGAAGATTAAAACAGTGAGTAATTATAAAGCACAAAGAATAGTTACTGGCACTCAGTAAAAATTGTGTTTGTTGCTATTATTGTCGCTGTTATTATACAGCTTTGAAGCAATACCTTACTATAGAGTAAGACATTTAGCAGCATACTAGGAGTTAGATCACTGCAGATTTCCTGGGAGAACCAGGTGAAGAAGTCAAGAAAGAAGAGCTGGGTAAAAAGGGAAAAAATGTTATGGGCACTCAGGAGAAATGGTTTCTAACTGACATTATAAGTAATCATATTTCCAGAGTCAATCTTTTTCAAAAGGGTATATCTGAATTGCTAGCTAACTAATGTTCTGTGGTTTCTCTAACTTTCCAGAATGGAATTGTTTTACTGGTACCAACCAGTATCTGAGAAGATGCTTTTAGCTTTCTTCCTAGGTGTAGAAGCAGCAAACAAGTGTGTCAAAACATTTTCAACCTGTATGAAAAGAAAAAATTATGTGACAGGTGATTCACTGAAAGTAATGATCAATATTTACATATTTTCTTATTTTTTGAATTTGACATTTAAGATTTGCTGATTATTTCACTTACCCAATTCCATTGATCCCCAAAGTGTAAGAGCATAGCCTGTATTTTGTTCACATAATGAATACACGAACACAGTCTTTCATGCACTGATTTTCTTTATGGCTTGAAAATCTACAGCAGGATATAAGTAAGGCTGTGCTAGTTGGTGGCATTGGAGCGATCCTTTTCTGAACTCATGTTTTCTAAATTGAGCTTGCCTTTTTAAATAATTGAAAGTCATCTTTTTTCAAAATTAATATTTGCTACTTGGCCTATTTTCTCAGGAAAAAAAGAAAAAGAAATGAACTAGCCTGTTTTTCTTCAAGAACTAAGCCAGGAAATAAATGCATGAACTCAGCCTTTTTTTTTTCCTTTAAAAGAGGGAACTTTGCGATTACCCAATTCTTGCCCTCAGTATAGCCCATAGGTCCTGGGCAGTTGGTTATTAATGGTAAATCTCGTGGTGGTGATAAGGTCAGAAAAACCTTGTCTCTTCTTTTAAATAATTACTCACCATCACAATTATGAAGCTGGTTTTAGATAATCAGACTAGAAATTTCCTTAGATGAAAAGATCCAGACCCAAAGCACTTCTCAAACTCTTATTAACTGTTTGCTGCAGTTGCTTAAGGCGATAAAGATTTGAGATTAAATTTTGGTAAGAAATAAATGGAAATTTGGAGATCTTACCCTACTTTGTGTGTGTGTGTGTGTGTTTAGTTTAGGTTTTGTTTTGAATAAGGTTTTATCCTGAAGTCACATGATATTCAAGATTCTCAGTTCCCCTATTACAGAGCCACAGGCTTAACTTCAGAAGCTGGCATTAAGGAGCACTTGATGTAAGAGGCAAAGCAGAGGTTGGATTTTTGCAAGATACCAGTGTGTTTCTCGGAGGAATCTCTGTTATAGTCCCACAGTGAAATTCTGGATATTTTGGCTGAGGATTACTAGCACTTTGCACTTCCTTATTTTATCGTCAATGACAGCTGTAAATTCCCTGCAAATCCAGTACCTACTTCATTTCACAGAGCATCACACAGTCCCAGGAAGTCAGAAGGTGTCTCAGTCTAACTTCTGGGAGTTTAGTCTTGTCTGAGAGATACTGACATGGAAACGACTGAGGAACTCTTGCAAAGCAGATCAAATAAACTCCATTTAAAAGATTGGATATAGCTTTCCGCACTACCCAGAGAGGGGCCCATATGGTGGTGTTCTTGGTTCTCTGTAACTTAAGAGGAAACTTTCACAATGTCCGGAGACCTTGATGTCCTGCAGATAAAGGAAGAGGATGTCCTCAAATTCCTTGCAGCAGGAACCCACTCAGGTGGCACCAACCTTGACTTCCAAATGGAACAGTACATCTACAAAAGGGAAAGTGATGGCATCTACATCATACATCTGAAGAGAACATGGGGGAAGTTTCGGCTGGTAGATGGTGCCATTGTCGCCACTGAAAACCCTGCTTGATATCAGTGTCATATTGTCCAGGAATACTGGCCAGCAAGCTGTGCTGGAGTTCACTGCTGCCACTGGAGCCACTTCTAGTGCTGGCCACTTCACTCCTGGAACCTCCCCTAACCAGATCCAGGCAGCCTTCCTGGAGCCAAGACTTCTGGTGGTTACTGATCTCAGGGCTGACCACCAGCCTCTCACTGAGGCGTATTATGTTAACCAGCCTCCCACTGCTCTGTGTCACACAGACGTCCTCCTCTACACTGTGTGGACATTGCCATTTCTTGCAACAATGAGGGGTCTCTCTCAGTGGGCCTGATGTGGTGGTGGGTACTGGCCTGGGGAGTTCTGCGCATGTGTGGCACCATCTCCCGTGAACACCTACAGAGCTCATTCCTGATCTCTGCTTCTACAGGGATCCTGTAGAGATTGAGAAGGAAGAGCAGGCTGCTGCTGAAAAGGCTGTGACTAAGGAGGCATTTCAGGGTGAACAGATCGCTCCAGCTCCTGAGTTCACTGCCATTCAGCCTGAGGTCACTGACTGGTCAGAAGACGCAGGTGTCCTCTGTGCCTGTTCAGCCGTTCCCTACTGAAGACTGGGGCGCTCAGCCTGCCACTGGAGATGGGTCTGCAGTATCCACTGCACAGGCCACTGAATGGGTAGGAACAACCACTGAGTGGTCTTCAGCTGTTCTTCCACGAATTCTTAACAGAATGGAAATAAGGTTGATGGAAAATGAACAGTTTCTAAAGAAAAATAAAAGATCTGATATAAAACAGGAAGCAACAAATGAACAAATAAAACAAAGAAATAAACTCAGACTCAGACAACAGAAGGGTGATTACCAGGTGGGAAGGGGAGTGAGTGGTGGGAGGATGAAGGGGGTAGAAGAGGGTCAAATATATGGTGATGGAGGGAGACCAGACTTTGGGTGGTGAGCACACAGTGTAGCCTACAGATGATGTATTATACAATTGCACACCTGAAACTTATATAATGTTATTAACCAATGTTACCCTAACAAATGTAATACAAAATATTTTATCAAGACTTCTTTCTTTGGGCTATGCCTTTCTCAGCCACGCCTAGGTGCTTAGCAGTCGTGGTAACCTCACTTTCAATACCCTGCACACTGTTTTGTTTCTGACTTCCACCCCTCTGGGTAAATTCTGGGTTTTGTCATCACTTCTTCCTGTTCTCACGATGTTTTTACTATAGAAACTGCTGCTTCAGTAGCCTGTAAATCTTATGACCAAGTAAAATTCTCAGTCTCCCTCATCTTCCCCTAGATCTGAAAAGACATGACAGCTTGGTGTTGATTCTGGATGTTCTATTTTTTATTTATTTTTATTTTTTGTGGGTTCTAATGAATTTTCCATAGGTACTGACTGTAGCCTTTACACCTTTTTTCACTCACACCCGTGACAGTACTTTAAGTGAAACGGGGCTTTAGGACCTTGCCTTTTCAGCAGCACATTAGCAAATCACAAACCTCTTGCTCAAAGTCAGTTGATTTTCCTTTAGAATTGAATGAAATTATTCTCTCTGCATTCCTCTCCATGGCTCTTCATTGTTTTCTCTCATCATTTGTTTATTCAAACATCTCATTGACAGGCACTATACTAGGAGGTGGAATGATAAAGATGGATGTGACCTGATTCCTTCTTCAAGGACCCCACATCTGGTAGAAAAGACAGGTAATCAGCCCATATGGCACCTTTGTGTGAATGAGGAAAAGTCATCCCTTACTCCTGGTGGAGGCAGTTCTGCACCACAGCTCCAACATGGCAAGTGGAGAAAACAGGATGGATTTCGGGCCTCTCTTGCCTCCTTGGCTGGGGACCCTTGTGTAGGACATAACCTGAGCAACCCTACGCTATGACCCTGGACATGTAAATAGCATGTTACATGGTACAGTGTGATGAGCACCTAGGAGAGAGCGCCTGACTGCCTCGTAGGATGGTCAGGGAAGGAAGGTTTCCTGGAGCTGAGGTAACATGTGAGCTAAGGCATGGAGGAGCTTATCCCATGAAGAGGGGTGAAGGGGAGAGAGAAGATATGTAAAGCCATACAGGTTTGAAGAACATGGCATGTTTGGGGCTCTGCAAGTCATTTAAAGCTGGAAGATCCCATAGCAATGATCTAGGACCTACACGCTCTGTACTTGCTACTGAAAGTATAGCTCTGTAGAGCAGCTTTGGTATTATCAGGAAACTTGTTAGAAGTGTAGACTCTTGGGCCCCACTCAAGTCCTTCTGAATCAAACCTGCCTTTTAATGAGCTCCCTGGTGGATTCATGGGCAAGTTAAAGCCTGAGTGGCACTGGTTCAGGTGGGAGCTGATGAGAGCTAAAGGTCTGCTTTGGAGGCATATCCTCCAGATATTACCAAATATGGTATTTTTCTTATGCTTCCACAAATCTACCATCAGTAGATTTACCTTCAGGGTGCCTCAGCGATATTACCTATAATTCACAGCTATGGGAAACAGAGGTGTGAAGAACCCATACACACCAGGAAAATTAAAATGGAAGGAAGAGAATGCAGACTTCTCTGTTTACTCTTCCTTTTTCTTTCTCTCTCTTTTTATCTTCACCCAAGGGCATGCTTATTGATTGTACAGAAAGGAAGAGGGAGGAAGAGAGAGGGAAAGAAACATCAATGTGAGAGAAAAACATCAGTAGTCTCCTGCACGTGCCCTGACTGGGGACCAAACCCACAATCTAGGCATGCACCCTGGTGTACAGGACAACACTCCAGCCAACTGAGCCACACTGGCCAGGGCACTCTCTCTTTTTTCTTACTCTCCAGGCTTGCTTGTCTCAAGCCTCCTGGAAGGATGAAATGATCAAGAAGCTGTCAGCTTGGAGGTAGGGCCTGGACATCATCCTGGAGCAAAGGGGAAAAATGGAAACAACCCTAAAAAAGATCCCAGAAATAAAGGAAGGTGTCATCTGTACGCAGCTCTGCTTCACCCTCATCTCTCCTGCTTCTTCCCTACTGCCCTTTCATTCATTCAACCATTTAGTTATTTAGTGGTTGCATCATGTATATTGAGAACCTACTGTCTGCCAGGCAAGATATTTGCATTTTCCTAGTAACTGCAGGGCTTTCTACAGATCTTTCTTCAGTTTTTCCAAGAGATTCCCAGACATCCCTTCCCCAAAACTTTTAAAAGCCACAGTCCTTCCTCTGCTAGATCTCCCTCTCTAGCCCTAGGCAGCTCACCACAACAGTAGGAACCATTGAAGATGGAAGACTCTGGAGTTTCTGTTCTCTGCTCAGCCCTCGGCATGTGAACTTCCCTGATTCTTTTTCTACAAGGGGAATCCTAAGGGGGAATGCAGGTTCAAATGAGGCTTGAGCACCTGTGGAAGATCATTACTGAACTTGACTGAGTGAGAGACTGACTGTGGTTCTGGTGAGCCAGAGGTCAAAGCTGGGGCATCTCCCTATGAACCACTGACTAATTTCCTCTCAAAAAAGGATTTGGTTGAAGAATAAGTTTGAGGTGCACAGAAGGGACCTTTGGGGGAGAGGAAGCAAAAGAGAAACAACACTATTCCCTTAAACTGTTTCTGGTAATTCAGTCCAGAAACCCCTTAAGGTTATAATGGTATCATAACATTGTGATAGCAAATGATGTTACCACAAAACAGGGATGACAAAGAGAAGGTCCAGAAGGTGATATGGTGGTGTCTGATTTGGCTTTT